TTGAGGCAGCTATGCCTTGTGTTACACAGACAACTTTCTGCAACTGAGTACTCAATCCACCAGCTCTCACATGCAGGGTGCTCTCTCTTCCTGCAGGCTGCAAAAAAGTGAGGAAAACTATTGTGTTGTTTGTGAATCTAAAAGTTACATGATGACATGAAGTTGTGTTGCTAGTTTTTAAACCATCAGATACATGGACGCATGTCCAGGCCTAGCTTCTACTACAACTCTTGTGTCCTGAAAAGTGACGTCTTGTTGTTGGCCACTGCTCAGCTGTCATTGCCATGCTTCCTACCTGTGCAGCAGAAATGAACACAGAAGAACTTGGGATGATAAGACTGGGAGCTTCTTCCTGAATTGCTGACTTAGGTTGCTAAAGCTTTTATTTCTTTGCTGGACTTGGTGTTTTGTCGACACATAACCACGGAAGTTCAGCTGTTGCCATCTCTAACTCCAGGGATCACATGGGCAACATGTGAGTGGAAACAAAGCCTGGAGGTAAACGGAGCAATTTGGAATGAGATCAAAGATTAGCTTCATTTCATTGTTTCCTTCGACTTTTTACTATCCCATCTAAATTTGGCATTTTATGAGACGTTTCTTTTATTCTCAAAGGTAAAACTGAGCTTGAATCATCTGGGACCCCTCTACCTCTGCTGGAGAAATGCATGCAACTTGATTTGATCGATGGGAGTTTTATCACTGAATTCCCAACTTCTAGGAGCATTCAGTATGAAACATGTAGTACATGGTCTTGTTTTAGAATTCTATCATGAAAATGGTCACTATAGCCCTGATTAAGTTACAGAAGATACTGTGTTATAAAAGCAAAAAGGAAAAATTGCAACAATATAAGAATATTGGACATTTGGAAAGTGACTGTTTTGACTTCCACCCAAATAGTAGTCACATGGTTAAAATTGACATTACAATGCTTTATGACCATGGAGGGGAATGGTCTCATAGGGCCCATAGCCAACCACATCTGAAAACCCTACAGTTGTTTATTGAATGAGTACCTCAATTCATTCCAAAACTTAAGATGATATTGTTTATTATTGGGTTTTTTTGTTGTTGTTGATGTTCTTGCATGGAAGCAACTACAGTTAAGTTCATGTTCTTACTACTCAACCATTCCATCAGTTCTAACTTTGTTCTACCATCTAAATTCTGGGGATTTCTTTTCATGTATGAGACTACAATACTTCAGAGAAAAGCAAGTATTAGAGAAAAAGCAGCCCAAGCATGTTTTAGAGCATGTACTTCTATGTGCAAATTTATCCTTGCAGTGTTAATCTTAGATATGTGCAGATATGTACAAAGTGTTTCAAATATGTGCTATTTCAGTAAGAGGACAATGAATCATGTGTTCTTTGATTTAGAAAGAGCAATAAAATAAGCTAAAATTTTTGAGTTCATGAAAGCATCAAGTAGATGACCAAAGTAAAGAGCAGGCGGACAGTTGACTAGCAAGAGCTGAGCAGAAAGAAGAGCCAAAGAGTTGAGCAAATGGGATCTTGGGACAGTTGTTACTATTTCTTGTGATACTATGATGGTGGATACATGAAATTCTTCATTTATCACACTCCACAGACTTGTACACCACCAAGTAGGAAGCATGATTGTAGACTTGAGCTCATAATAATGCATCATTATTAACTTAAAAATTGTAGCAAATTTAAAATACTAGTGTAAACCAGTAATGTGAAAAGGATGAGTATATTGGTTACAATCTGTACTTCCCTATCAGTTTATTTGTAAAGTTCAAACTGCTTTGAATAAATTCCCCCTGTGAGTTCAGAAACCCGAAAAAAAAGAGAAAAGTTATACTGAAACAATTCTTTTTTGTTTATGCACTCACTGTGCAATTATTCCTGCAAATGGACAGGCTTGTATGATATGATGAGTTAAAAAATATTGAACAAGAATGTCCCAATTTGGCAATATAAAAGAGTAGGTGTTTTCAAATAATCTGACATTGAATTATCTTAAAACATTAAGATGAGTATTAAAAAAGTACCACATATTTATTGATGACATATTAAAAGATGACGGAAGTTCAGCAAGCATTAGAGATGTTGGTTACTTTAGAGTATCCATTCCCAAATTTTCTTTTTCTGAACATTGTTTCTTGCATGTGAAAGCAGCCAAAGTGTGATCCTATAATGGAGGATGGATCTGATTTCAGATGAGGAACAACAAAAGACCATGTCAAAAGAGAAGAGCTCCTGAAAAATTGCTAGCCTATTTGATTTATCATGATCAACAGCGGAAAAGGAAGCTAGAAGGAAAGAGAGCGTAAAGTGAAAAAATCAGATCTTCCTCGTGAAGTCCATATTTATGATAAATGTGAAGAATCAACATCTTAAATTAAGCCTGCAGTCCAAGATGGTAAAATGGATCTAGATGACAGCATCTTAAGCAATTAGCAGAAGAAAACAAACTATACTCTACCTGGCTGGTAAGACAGATGCTGCATTCAATTAGGTGTCATAGTTACCTTTGATACAATAAAGTATAATAGAACAATGGGTTAAAAGCAACTGAATTTTTTTCTCATTGTCAAGCCTGTAGCAGAAGCCACCATGATTAGTTTTAGTGAAATGTTCCCATACTTACAACTTCTAGTAGCCTCATGTGTCAAAAAAAAATCCGGAAAGAAAACAAAAACAATATCAAATGGTTGGAGTACTTTTTGAAGTTCCCTTTTTTGAAAGTCCTAATCTCATCCATGGGGTTATCACCTAATTACCACAAGGCCCCCCTGTGGTTACCATCCCCTTGGCGATTAGGATTCCAACATAGCAACTTGAGGAAAGTGGGAGTGTGCTCACTCTGTCCATCGCATCAGGCTTCAAAGATTTTTCTTATATAAACTGTATATGAGCTTGAGAGACAAAAAATAAAAACAAAAGAAAACAAAACAGAAATAGGAAAGTGAAAGGAACGAAACTGAAAGGATTTAAATATAAGATTTAGCAAGTAAAACATGCTGAAGAAAATACAGTAAGTGCATAAAAGATCCAATCAAGGAACAACAATCTAAAAAGTAAATTGGAAATTATGAAATATAAAAAATAGAAATGCTGCAATTAAACAATACAATCTCTTAAAGTTAATAATGGTTCTAAACAATAGGCTGTAAATTTCTGAAAAGAAAATGTTTGAAAGTTCTGAAGTAAAAGTGTCCATATAAAAAGAGAAAATTTAGCACAGAAATCAAGGTGGAAAACATGGAAGAATTTAAGAGATACTGGTGAAAAGTTTACACGTCACATTGGAATTGGAAATGATAACTGGATTTTCAATACGTTTGTGCATGTGCATAATAGAGTGAGTTCATAGAAAAGTACAACTGAAGAAGACATAGCATGAACCTATAATTCTTCGAAAATTTAATCAAGAGTCAAAAACCTTTGTCAAGAGTCTAAATGGTTTAAAAGGAAATACCTATCTAATATTCTAGGTCAGATAATGAACACAGGTCTCTCATCAGCTCGAGAATGAAAGATTAAAAACTATCCATATTTGTGAACATAGATCAAAAAACCCTAAGTTAGATCAGTTGGGCTCATACAAAAAATAATGCATCAGAAGAAAGTTTACTTAATGTCATAAGCACAAAGATGACTTAATATTAGAAATATAGGTGAGGCATTTTAACTCACAATATTCCCAAATTGTAGGAAAAACCCAGTCTATGTAGAGGAAAAATTAAACCAAATTCTACAACAATTTAGAGAGTAACTCCAACTAAAACTAGAAAGAGAAAGCTCCTCCCTTGTACAGAATGAAACCATAGTAACCAGGCATTGTTCGTCCACTTGCTTAGTAAATCCCAGCAAAGGCTGGCGAGGGTGTGGTAGAGCAGACTGGAACCTTCATGTGCACTGCTTCCAAGTGTGAGTGTGGCTGACGGTTCTTTGGAAGCAATCCAGCATTACTCCATGAGTCTTAACCCACAACTCCATCCGATGCTTACATATGTGTACCACAAGACTTTCATAAGGACATTCTTAGCAATGTTATTTGCAATAACAACAATGAAACTTAGAAGTTTTGTAACAACACCAAATATCTATCAGATAGAAACTTGGGCAAGCAAACTCTGTAGAGATGAGTTGGCCTACTATACACCAAGAACTGTAGCTTCGTGCATGAACAGAGTGGAGAAAACAGGATTCATGAGGACAGCAAGCTAACACATATGAAGGTTCGAAGGCCAGCGAATTAAGCAAAGGAAAACAATGGAATTCAAAAAGCTAACTCAGATTCCTGACTCCCACATGGAGGAGAACTGATGCTATTGGAGAATGACACGTACAGGATTCTGCCAGAAGTGACAGCATATTTTCCTTAAGAAACAAGTGAGATTGTTATCAATTCATTTGTAGATTATTAATGTATAGATGCTATTTATATATTTTGCATTTATCAAATATTTTATAACAAAATACAATAAAAATTGGGCCATATCTAATAGTTAAAGTAGCAGTTTACAAACTTTCTTTTTATAATAAGAGTTAATGGTGGAGACAAGAAGTACGTGGCAAACAGGGGCTAGTTTACCCATTAACATCAATGCTGTGTGTGTTTGTGTGTGTGTGTGTGTGTGTGTGTGTGTGTGTGTGTGTGTGTGCATTTCAGGGGAAGGGAACGTAGGGTCACATACGTCCTAATCAAGCACTCTATCACTGACTTACAGTCACAGCATCTCCAAGTTTGTCATCAGGTGGTTACAACTCCTGTTAGGTGAGGCTTTGCTGTCTGTTGGTGAAGAGACAGATTGAAGAATGCAAGTCTTGTGATATTTCTTATCTGTGTGATCTTGGACTTTCATGTCCTTGGTCTAAGCACGGAGATAATAATGTGGATGTTACATGAAGTAGCACTAGAAACTCTGAGACAGAACTCTAACAGAATGAATGCTCGATCACTGTTGTGTACTGGAACGTTTTTGTGATTTAATCCTTTGGAATGCTCTGTCTTTATTATGTTAGGCTTTGGTCATTTGACGAAGCAGTTGATGACACTGGCTGGTGGGCGTGTGGCATTGGCTCTAGAAGGAGGACATGATCTGACAGCCATCTGTGATGCGTCTGAAGCCTGCACAAATGCCCTTCTAGGAAATGAGGTAAAAGCAAAGAGTACACGGTATCCGGGGAGGGAAGTGGAGGACGCATGTGTGTTTAATTTCAGGATTACTATTTAACCTATAACAGTAGAAAGTTCGGTACTGGCACTAGAAGTTTCTGTGCTTTCATGGGACACGCTGTCCTGTCTTCCCAGGTAGAGTATCCACATAGCATTCCTGCCAATCAAATTATTTACACGGCGAAAACTGAGCAGTGAAAACTCTTGCAGAGAAGAATGTTTTGTCTACTGAGCCTATCAGATGAACAATGAATCATTTAATATGAAATTAATCTTTTAAAAATTTCTGACATTTCCTGCATGATTGTTAAGTCAGAAAAATAAAGCCATTTTTAAAAACATTCTTGTTCTGTCCGAGGCTGATTTCCCAGCTGTCAGAGGACCGAACCAGGCCCCCTGAACGTGGGTGTCAGTTAGGAGGCCTGGGCAGTCTATGGGGACTCTGGCAGTGGAACAGTATTTATCCCTAATGTATGAATGGACATTGGGAGCTCATTGCCCCATAAAGGGATACTCTCTCAGCCTAAAAACATGGGAGAGGGCCTAAGTCCTGTTCCAAATGATGTAACAGACTTTGATTCCCCCATGGAAGGTCTCACCATCCCTAGGGAGCAGAAGGAGGATAGGATGGGGGGATCAGTGGTGGGCATGGGAGAATGGGAGGGAAAGGGAACTGGGATTTATATGTAAAATAAGATTGTTTCTAATTTAAATAAAAATAAAATAAAAAGAAGACATAGCTAATGGGCTCAAAAAAACAAACAAAAAATCCTTAAGATTTTTTTCCATCGTTTGAGAATGTTTGTGCTAGGGAAGAGATTGTGTCCTATTTTTCTGAGAGTCAAAGGGAATCTCCTAAAGCTAGAAGACTCTACTATTGCTATATAGGTAGGTGCAAGGCAATAGATTTAAAACCAGAACTTGCATATCTAACTTGCAGTACAGATTGTTAATTGCTCCACAGACTTTGTATTTAGTCACTTGGACATTTGCGTCTAGGTCTGAACAAGGTGTTATACACTGGTTAGAATTAGGAATGTGTGGCAGTTCAATGAGTTAGCTTTGGGTTTCCTTTTTGCTTTTGGGAGCGTGAACTTGAACTGGAAATACAGTTTTTCTTATTCATAAATTGACTTTGAAACTTACCTTTCATGTTTTTTAACAAAAACTCAGGATATTGCATGCATATTTATGGAAAATTGTACTTTTTCTTCTCTACACTGAGTGCGAAACTTTTACTGCTGTCATTTCCATGTGAGTCTAAACTGCTATAACATAACTATTTTGCCATATTTATTGAATAAGTACATATATTTTTAATTTGAAAAAAATACCTGTGACACTGACAAAGTGTCTAGCAATGTTAATTTTAGACAGAGTGCAGACCACTGTCGAAACCCTCCTGGCAATGAGCTAGGAGACTGTAACTGCTTCATGATTAGCATCAATAGGCCGCTCTTTCCCTTCACAGGGGCCAAGAGTTGTTTAAAACAGTCTTTCTGTGACTGTTGTGCACTAATAATGTCAAACACAGTGTGGGATTGTTTGTGGGGTGGGGGCCAACCAGGAACTGTCAAAGTTCCGTATCTATTTGCTTGCCCGGCTTGCCCCCGGAGAATGTTTCTTGGACCAGCTGTGTATGGCCTTTAAATGGCTTTTGTAAGCTTAACGCCTTTGAATGTGTTTTAGTTAAGTAGAATGGCAGTTTCCACAAGAAAAACCAGGATGAGCTGTGCATTGTGACTTCACAGGTGATTATCCTGCCTAGAAAGAAACATTAGCCAGCAACATAAGCAAACTACATTTCCAACTACATAGACAGAAACTACAAGTTTAGTGGCTCTCTTTCAATGCAGCCATTGAGATGAGTCTTTTTACCGTTGGAATCTCTGTACTTGACCAAGTTCACACTTCCAAAAAGCATCTCGGGTGAAGATGGCATAATCTCTCCAGTGATATCATATCTCAAGGAAGATCATAGAGGATATCCTCTGACATAGAGGATAAAAGCATCATTCGGCTGTCATAGTCTGTGGGGGTGGGGAGCATGGGGGTGTAGAGATGGTTAATCAGTGAAACCCAGGAAGTAATAACTGAAATTATTTGACAGGTATATTGATTATTTAACTGACTTCAATTGTCTGGACATCCTTTAGTAAGTTTTCTCTTGCAATTGTAATAACCCAATTGACATCATGTCTTCTTTGACTGGCTGTCTTCAATCGCATAAGCAAAACCTAAAATTTGCTCAATTTAATCTAAAGAAAGGGAAATTTAGTCTTGTTTCAGTTGTTTCCTTCTAACGATTCTAGGGATATAGAATTCCTACAGGATACTTTAGGAATGACAGATGGAGTTGATTTATTGAACTCTGAAAGGTAAATTTTGTTGCAGTGGGTCTTTCTTCACCCAGAAGAACAAAGCAGAGAGAAACAGGGACTTTTAAAATGAATAGTGGAGGAAAAATACAAGCGTGCTGTACATTATAATTCATTTGGAAAGAGGAAATGAAAGCGTAATACTTGAAACAATTCAAAAAACAAAGAGTTCACACTTTCATTGACAATATAATTTATAATGCAACGCCTGGCTTTGGGTATTTTTTCCAGGTCAAAAGTCATTGTGACTACATTGACGTTTTAAGTTTCATTCCAGCAGAAAAAATAATATATAAGGCATATTACATGTACCTCACCGTTTAACAAAAATACCTACATGCAATTTCCACAACAGTTTTACGTGGTAATCTCTGGATAAGAAAATAAAAATGAGGTCTTTCAGATACCAATTACTGCAATTTAAAAATCCCAATTTCCCTACAAGCCCCCCTTGCAAGTGATTAATAGAGCAATTATGACTTATTATCTGGGATTTCACTTTTACAAATTATAAAATGTAGTGAAGCTGGAGCATAAAACTGTGACAGCACCAACAAGCTTCCCATCCATGAGCATGCAATTGAGCTCAAATTAGAAAGGTCAAGAGGGCCTTTGCCAGGGACTCTGCACTCCATCAGATGTATTTATCCATGTGTAGAGGATTAGACTTCATAAACATTTGCCAGTTTTTAAAATGCTATGTCTTTTTCTTGTTGTTCTTGGCCAGGTTTTGTCAATACAGCAAAATGCTGCTGCTTCTTCTAACTTATTAGCAAAATAATGTAAATTGCCTAACCCCAAAGATTGTAAGATCAGCGAGGACCATTGGATGATGTCATTGTAGACAATAGATCGGCACCAGAACCCAATATTTTAAAAATGCTATGTAAACGTTGTACCTTAAAGAGGCATTTTTTTTCTTTTTAAACAGTGTCAGCTTGAAAATGATCTACCTAGCAAAACATCCAAATTTTCTTTTAAAAAAATTTGTACAAGGTCAATCAACATAAAATACTATTGGATTAAAACTAATCTGAGCACAGTGCAGAAAATTCTAGGAGGAGACTGATTCTTAAAATCATGCTACAAGTCTTTATTTTTAAATTTATTCTTGGCCAAGTATATAACTGGATTTTATCAGTCCAATCAAATTATGATGAATATTTTTGAACATTTTCACTGACATTCTATTAAAAACTCCAACCTGGAGTTTGAGAACCTAAACACCTACATGAGAAAAACCATTAGATTGATTGGGAAAGCATAAGTACAATTCCGTGAATTACCACATCGTCAAACATACAGTTTCTTTAAGGCCACATTCAACTACTGTTCTACAAAGCCAATAATCATGCCTCCCGTTGCTTCCTCTGACACGAATCTGCTGTAGAGGATAGAAGAGCTTTAGCAGTTTCTGGTGCCTATGGAATCTGGTCTCAGAACAAACTTTCTAGTGAGCAAGGCAAAGAAGTAGAAGCTTTGAGTCATGAGTTGAGAACACGAGCTCGAAAAGGTCATAGGCCTAACAAAGAGAATAGATAATGGTTTCAAGCTGGTTAGGAAGAAAGGAAGTTTTCTGAAAGGTAAATCCATATTTTCACAGCTATGGAAGCTGCTGAGATGACGATGGAAACTCTAGACTGCCCTAACCCATTAATGTTTGATTTCTGGTTTCTTTCCTTTTTTATCTTTTTTTGTTCCTTCCTTCCTTTCTCAATTCCTTCCATACTTCCTTTTTTCTTCATTCCTTCCATGTTTCCTTTCCTACACCTTTAAAAAAAATATCGACTGTCTCTTCTAAATACATGCAGCTGCTTTTTCTTTAACTGGGATATCACAGACAGTGACTGAATGTGGAGATCGCCTTTCTTTTTCTTCTTTTAATTTAAATTAGAAACAAGCTTGTTTTACATGTCAGTCCCAGTTACTTCTCCCTCTACTCCTCCCTTACCTCCCACCAACTCCCTATCCCATGCCCTTTCTGCTCCCCAGGGAGGGTGAGGCCTCCCATGGAGAATCTTCAAAGACTGTCATATCATTTGGAGCAGGGCCTAGGTCCTCGCCATTTGTCCAGGCTGAGAAAGCATCCCTTTATGTGGGATGGGCTCCCAAAGGCCATTCATATGCTAGGGATAAATACTGATCCACTACCAAAGGCCCTACAGACTGCCCAGGCCTCCTAATTGATACCCACATTCGGGGGTCTGGGTCAGTCCTATACTTTTTCCCCAGCTATCATTCTGGGGTCCATGAACTCCCCCTTGTTCAGGTCAGGTGCTTCTATCGGTTTCTCCAGCCTGGTATTGACCCCTTTAGCTCATCACTCCTCCCTATCTGCAACTGGATTCCAGGAGTTCAACACAATGTTTAGCTGTGGGTGTCTGCATCTGTTTTCATCAGCTACTGGAGGAAGGCTCTACAATGGCATATAAGGTAGTCATCAATCTCATTATCAGAAAAGGGCATTTAAGGTAGCCTCCTCACTATTGATTAGACTCTTAGTTGGGGCCATCCTTGTTGATAGATCTCTGGACATTTCGCTAGTGGGAGATTTCTCTTTAAACTTATAATGGCTCCCTCTATTATAGTATCTCTTTTCTTG